TCATTGAAGTGTCGCCAGAAGAAAAGTTTTGTCCCTAAAGGACACGGGTTGCACTGGTCTGTGCATCCAGAATTGGGCGCCCAAGCCGCAGCAAGTTCATCGAATGAATCGGAGTCTGGAAGCGTTATTGTCAATGGAAGAACAGCTGCGCCTGATGAAGCGGGCTCGTCGTCGCCTTCGTCCTCCGGCATTGTAGCCGATATCAATGATTCAAATGGTGAAAGTAATCAGGTAATATAAATTCAACCAGTGTGTAGCTAGGATCTTTTTTTTTAAATTCACAATTTTTTCACGTCTCTGGACCGTCAATTTTTCTGCGTTTTTGCTGTGCAGCGCTAAGCAAAAACGCATATTGTCGAGCGGCTGTGTGTGTGTGTGTTCGGAAGCGAGTGCATTTTGTCACCCAGTTTCATCTCAGAAACCAGGAAAGTTGGGAGGCTGAAACTTTGGATATATGTTCCTACCCCGTGTGTCATCCTCCCGTTTTAAGATCTATTCCCATACGCGCCCAGACCCCGCGTACGGGACCCCAAAGAAATACGTTGGCGGGAAATGATTTCGCGAACCAGGCAAGGTAAAAAACTGAAACTTTGCAGGGATATTCTCTATGCACTTGTGAGCTAAAGATTTTAAACTCAGCTGTGGAGCTCCCCAACCACAGTTTCAAACAGCCCCTTAACCCAAAAATCGTTCGCAACTCGGCCCCAGTCGTATGTGTAAGTGAACATTAGTTAATTTGCATACATGGATTTTTTGACAAACGACCGCTCGATCAATACTTCCACTTTTTAGTGAACTGGAAATTTGCATTTTTCATTTTTTCACAAAGCGAGCATTTGCCGAAAAAACGACCAGGCTTCATGCAAAGACCGGTAATTATACACCTGGATGTTCATGCGGCTCTATAATGCACCACCCTCATCCCAATTGATGCCCTTCCTCCTGCATGCCGGAAAGTATCAAAGCACGCCGGTATGACCCAAGTGTTAGGCTACAGCGTAGGGATCATTCCTGCTGATAGCAGTCAGCGAGTTTAGTGCAAAAACGCATGATCGCACCGGAGAGCCTGGTGCATTCCAGCCTGGTTTTTTTTTTTTGGTAAATTTGTGTCTGGTGACGAGAGTTTTCAGGAGCATAATAAATTTTAAATGAATTTCGATCAATAAACAGACCGTTTATGTTAGTGGTCAATTTTCGTAGCTCATTTTTTGGCTACTTTAATAGCTTCCATCTCGCATGCAGTGCCGAAGCTTTCAATGCTTTTAAATATGCCATTTAACATATAATAACCAACCACCATCGAATCAGGTATAAATATGCGCGGCAGGTGTTTTTTTTTCTAGAGGACATCTGCAACATCGTCATCACTCTCATCATGCGAACCATTATCAGAACTTATGGAATCTAGCTATGACACTCCACGACCAGGACGAACATTTCGATCTCGAGCTGAAGATGCGGCAGCGGTAAACCAGGATTACTATCAACACCACTTATCGTTTGGAGTACCTTCTGGTACCGGGGCAATAGCCCAGCGAGCTCAGCTTGGACAAATTCGCGAACCGGGGCGCCTAATGATGCCAACATTGGAAGAGAAAGCAGAGCCAAGCAGTAGTACATCCGTTTTACAGAATGTTTTCAACGGTTTGTCCGGATCTAGCAGTAGTACGAATTCTGCCCCTCTTGTCGCTTCTGCATCTAGCTCGACCATCAACGACGACGAAGAGACGAAGTTTAATCATTCATTCAGTTCTGACAATGGACGAGGCTTCGGCACCAGGTTAGGCCTTGTTTTTTTATCAAACTAGAAGTTGGAATCTCCCCTCCTTCCCATGTTTTGCTGTTTATGAAAAATAAATTTTGGAAATGTAATCGAGTAGTTACAAAAAAAAGATTACTATAAATTACGATGCAGCATTAATCAAAGCAGCTAAATTAAACTTCTATGCTATGAACCTCAGTTGTGCAAGATATCGAGCTAGTTGTTCTAAAGGTTGCTCAAAAACGAGTTATGATGGTAGACTTGATTGCCTACTCAGGCTTTTTTATCATCAAATTTCGTCAAGTGAAAAT